TTGACATATAGGGATATTTTTATCCAAGTTCTCGATTTTTAGCCCTTTTTTGGTAAAAATTTTCCATTGCTTTAAGGTTTTTGTTCTAGTTTAACCCAGTTCGAATTTGCTCCGTAGCGTTTTGGCTTTTTAATTATGAGTTTGATAATTTTAAAAGAGTAGACATTAGTTCCCATTGTGATAAGCACTTAAAACATGGTATTACTCATGAGTTGATTATTGAATTAGTGGAATTATTGGATAAAGGTGATTTTGAAGTAGATGGACAAGAAGGGAAAAAGTCATATTTTAAAAGATATTATTACGAACAAGACGAAAATTACAAGTTAGTTTGGTGATGATGATCAGATAAAAATGTTATATTCTTCGAGTTCGCACTTGCTATCCTATTTAAAGATTATGGCAAAAGTTAAAAACAATAATTCTTATCAAATGTTAGTTAGTCCTAAGGAAGAGGAAATTTTTCGCCAAGTAGAAAGTGATGAATGTTTAGGAAGCAAAGCTTTGGGTAAAGATGCTACTGTTTTAGAGAAAATAAAATACGAACTTTGTCAGAGTATTGTTCGTTATAAGAGAAAAAAACAATTAGATTTGAAAAAGATATCCCGCTTGCTTAAATTAGATGAACTGGCTGCTAATAAACTTTTACATTATTATACTGAAAACTTTGCTTTGGACAGCCTAATTTCTTATGTGGAAAAGTTAAATATCCCTTGCCAAGTAAAAATCACTCCAGAAAATGTTCCTTCAAATCACAAAACCTCTAACGGTCGCACTAGAAAACACGCTTAATATTCCCTTTCCTAAATTCTCCTTGTAAAAGAAAATTATTTTATTCACTTAACTTCCCTTTTCTTTTACGCTTTTTAGATTTTTCCAAGTCTTCTAAAGCATCTAATTTTTTTTCTAGTTGGGTTCTTAATTTTTTTAAGTTTTCTAACTCTTTGGCGGCTTTTTGGAGTTTCTTTGTTGTTTTGACTTTTTTAAAAGAATTTCAAATGATTACTAGTAAAACGATTGAAAAGGTGATCGCAATAATAGAACCCATATTCTCTCCACTAGAGCAGTAAAAAGAATAATAAAAATTACATTCTTTCTGGTGCAGTTATTACCGTTAGATTAAGGCCTAATTTTAAAATGATTTGAATATTCCTTACTAACAAGAGTCTTTGCGAAGTTAGTTCGCGATTCTCTAGTTCTAGAATAGTATTACTTTGATAATAAACCTGTCATGTTCGGGATAACTCATATAAATAATGAATTAAATGATGAGGTTTGTTTTCTTCAACAATATTTTCTAAAATCAAAGAAAAACGAATTAACAAATTAAAAATTTTTCTTTCTTTTGTTTCCTTCAATAAATCAATACTAGAACTAATTTTTTCTAAACCTTTTTCTTGAGCCTTTTTTAGAATTTGGTGACAACGAGCATAGGCATATTGAATGTAGTAAAGACGAGTTTTTTCTTTATTTTCTTTTAGCAATTCGGCATTAATAGAAAGAGGTTGGTTAGAATCTTTCTCCAATAAAAAAAACTTTAATTGATCCATATCCATATATTGCAAAGCACCTTCCAGCTCAATGGTATTACCAGCTCTTTTAGAAAATCTTTCCGTTTGACCTTCTTTAGTAAACAAATTAACTATTTGGACTAAAATTATTTGTAAACTCTCTGGCTTATGGCCTAACAGTTGTCAAGCACTTTTCAAGCGAGCAATAGTACCGTGATGATCCGCTCCTCAAATATCAATTAATTTATCAGCCCTTTTCAACTTTTCTCGGTGGTAAAGGATGTCGGAGAAAAAATAAGTGTAATCACCATCTTGTTTGATAATCACTCGGTCTTTATCATCTCCTGCTAGACTACTGCGAAAAAAAGTTGCTCCTTCTTTAGTATAAATTAAACTTTTTTTGTTTAACTCTTCTAACAAACTTAAATGTTTCTTTTCTTCATATAAACTAGTTTCCGAAAATCAAACATCAAACCTAATTCCACATTTTTCTAAATCTTGGTGAATTTTGGTTAAAACTAGTGCTAAAATTTCTTTTTTTCAAAGGCTAAAATCCGTGCTGTTTAATTTTTTATTAATATATTCACTCCCCCATTTTTCTATCAATTTTTTTGCTATTTCTTGGGTCGCTTGCCCGGAATATTCTATCTTTATCGGGTCCAACAAGGGGATATTTTGTAATTCATGGTAAAAATGATAAACCGAATTAACTAATGAGATAATTTGCCCGCCACGATCATTAACATAATACTCACGAGTTATTTGATAACCACAAAATTGATAAACATTAGCCAAGGTATTACCAATAACCGCATGGCGAAAATGTGCTAAATGTAAATAACCAGTTGGATTGGCTGAAACATATTCTAAATTTAGGCGAATATCTTTTTCTTCGCCTCGGAGATTCCGACCTTCATTTTCCAACGTCTCTTTAAAAAATTTTTGATAATAAGAAATAGGGAAACAAAAATTAATATAACCTTGCTTAGTAATAGTTTGTTCTAAATTAGAACAATCAGTTATCTTTATTATTTCACGAGCTACCTCTTGGGGATTTCTTTTAGTTTTATGGGAAATCGGCAGTGCTAATGTAAGAGCAAAGTCAGCTTCAACAGTATCCGGCAAGTCCCATTGAAGAAAAGTATCCTTCCAAGCAATGTTATGCTGTTCGGCAATTCTTTTTCAAATAGTCAAAAGATTGTTAAAATTTAGACTATTTTCCATTAATCTATTTTATTTTCTTGTTTATTTTCAAAATTTGATAGTGTCTTTTTTAAAAAAAATACCGCTTGGGGTAAAGTTTATTTATAACTCTTTCTAACTTTAAAGAACCAAACACTTGCCAAAACTAATATTCCACCTCCAATTAATCAAGGACTTAAACTAAAATTATTTTGGTTCCTTTCTGGATTAGCAACCTTTAATTCATTCTCCAATTCTCGCCTACTAATAGAACGTTTTCCGAGGTTATTTAAAAGTAGTTTTATACCAAACATATCTTTCTGTGTGGTATCAAACATATTTTCTTGCTTTGCACCTTTAAAAGTTAAACTACTATTTTGCAAAAATATTTCTTCAACTTCATTCTTTTTCATTCATTGTTCTAATTCTCTCTTGGAGTTGAGAACGATATTTTTATAATCTTCATTTAGTTCCTTTTTATTTACAGGTTTATCGGGCTGCTCCTCATTAAAATTTCAACCATACGTTGCAAACCCGCCAAGCATTTTTGAAATTTCCTCAGTGCTCATTTCTCTCAACTCGCCATCGCGAGGAGGTCGGTTTTGCACTTCATTTCACTCTTCTTTACTCATGTTTTGATATCTTTCTTCGGCTTTTTTTATCAAATCAAGAACACTTGGCGAAATCTTTTCCTCCTTTCAACCAGTATTTTTAAGAATAAACATACGAAGCGCACTACGTTTTTCTATATAGAATTTAATTTCTTCCTTATAACTAGCAGTTGTTATTTTTTCTCGTCAGTTTTTCCAATAATCAAGAGATAAGCATTTTTTTCAGTAAGAGTTGCTTTCTAATTCAAACTTTTCCTCAAGTTCTTCTTGTTGAATTGCTCGGTCTTTAAATTTTTGGTCAGCAACTTCGTCTTCGGGATATTCATGACAAAAGATGCCAAAAATTTCAAATTCATATTCCTTTCTTTTTTGAGGACCTTTCAAAGTATTATAAGCCTCTGTAACTTTTTCCCTTAACTCTTCGATACTTTCTATTTTTCCCTTACAATAATTAAGAGATGGAATTTTATAGAATAAATTAATTTCCGTTAGGTCATTGCGATCAAGCATGGAAAGACAGTTTTGATAAGCAACTTCGAGATATTTTTGACAATATTCTTCTCGGATAAGTTTGCTGTTGTTCATTTCATTTCGGCTGAAACCCAAAAGATCGTATCAATCCATTGCTTTATAACAAAAATTATTTCTGTCTTGCATATCTATAATTAATATTATTATATTATAATTTTAACTTATGGCGCGCTTGAGAGGAATCGAACCTCCGACCTTTTGAACCGCAATCAAATACTCTATCCACTGAGCTACAAGCGCCTTTTTTTCCTTAATGTGGTTTTATCATGAAAACAATTACAAAATTTTTATCAGCAGTTAATTATTATTGTATCAATAACAATATCAAGCAAGGCAAGAGGTTTCTCGACATGATTAACTTTTAGTTCAATCAGTATCTAATATAGCAAAAGCAACTTTTTCTCCAACTCCTGTTAAGCTTGAAGGAATTTCAAAAGCGAAGTAGTTGAATTGATAATTTGGCTCTTTTGATAATTTATCAACAATACCTCTAAATAATTCAGAAGTTTCAGAATTTGATAAAAAGAAAGTTTCGTTAGCATAATCGTTAAAAATATTGTTAAGGAATTCAACCGTTTTTCCGGTATCGGTAGGAAATTAGGCATAATCAGGATTATTTGTAACTCCTTCTAGAGGTGTTTTAACTTTGTTGTTAAGATAGTTTCAATTTTCTTGTTCATTCGGACTATCTAATTTAACTCGTCAAAATCCTTCCTCAAAATTTATTCAATCTATGTTACCATCGGATTTGTGCGGACAAAGACTTAAAATTAAGAAAGTTTCTTTTTCTTTAAATATTTGTCGAACTTTTTGAGAAAATTCAGCGACGGAAGTAGGAATATTAGTAAAAGATCTTACTTTGTGATTTTTAATTATTTGAGTGCTGATAGCAAGTTTTTCTTCTAGACTAGTTTCTGGTTTAAAAAGGTCAGGATAGCTATCTCCTACATAAGATATTTGGGGAAGAAGAGTTTCAATTTCACTTTCTTCTAAACTAAAATGCCTTAAAATTTCCTCTTTAATCTCTCTTTCTCGTTTAATAATCGGGTTCTCAGAAGGAGGAGTATCAGAAGGCTTTCTTTCCTCCCTAGCGAGGAAATAAACACCCCCCCCTATCGCGACCAAAATTGCTACACCTAAACCACCATAAATTAGTGTTTTTTTTTTTTTTTTTTGTATCCTCCCATTCCATTTCGCTAATGCTATAAAGTTTTTTATATGTTTAAAGTTAGAGAAAATTTATTGTCATTATAAAATTTCGTATATGACTTTTGACTATGACTTAATCGTTATTGGAGCGGGACCGGCTGGAATAGCTGCTGCCATTTACGCTCAAAGAGCTCTACTTAAAACTTTGATTTTAGAAAAATCTTTGCCAGGAGGTAAATTAAATAAGACTGAGGACGTGGATAATTATCCTGGTTTTATTTCAATAAAAGGTCCGGAACTAGCAATAAAAATGACTGAACACGCTAAATATTACCAAATTGATTGGAAAGAAGAGGAAGTGATTAAATTAGAAAAAAAAGAAAATGGATTTCTAATCAAAACCCAAACTGGGGAAAATTTTCTGAGCAAAACAGTTATTATTGCCTCAGGTGCAGCTGAAAACAAGTTGAAAATTGCTGGGGAAAAAGAATTCACCAATTGGGGGGTTTCCTACTGTGCAATTTGTGATGGCTTTCTGTTCCGAGAAGCAGCGGTAGTAGTAGTGGGCGGCGGCTATTCAGCCTTAGAAACCGCTTTATATTTAACTAATATTGCCAGCAAAGTTTATTTAGTTCACCGCCGGGATAGTTTTCGGGCAGAAAAGGAAATTAGCGACAAAGTAAAAAATAACCCCAAAATAATTTTAATTTTAAACTCGCAATTGTTAGCAATCGAAGGAAGGAATGAAAAAGAAAATAAGGTAGTAGAGAAAGTAATCGTTCACCAACTGACAAATAATGAAAAGAAAGAATTATTAGTTAGAGCGGTTTTTCCTTGCGTTGGCCTTTCACCACTTAGCAATTTCGCTCACGAATTAGGTATTTGCGACCGGCAAAATTATATTTTCATCAATGATGATTGTTCTACTGCGGTTCCTGGATTGTTTGCAGCTGGAGATGTGGCTCGGAATAACGAAAAGAAAATTAAACAAATCGTTACCGCTACTGCCGAAGGAGCTATTGCCGCACAATCAGTAATTAAATATTTAGAAAATTTTTAAAATAATTCCTTTGTTCAAAATTCTACTCTAACAGATAACTTTCTAACTAATTCTAGTGTTAAATTGCTTCTAATTTTCACAACACATTTTTATACCTTTCTAAAGGATATTTTGCCATCATTAAAAGCATTTAGTTCAATAATAATTAAAGAAATTTAGACAAAAAATCTATCCTTTTTTCGTAATAAAATTACAAAAATTGCTCATGCTAGATTATTCTTATTCCTCTCTATTTTCTGTATGTGGTTTTTGATGGACCGAGTTCTTTTGTCTATTTAGATCAAGACACTTTACTATTCTTACTTCTGTATATGGTTCTTGATGTCCTCAAGTTCTTTTAGTTCTTTTTTTGGCTTTATATTTCATCCCAAATATTTTCTTGTTTCGTCCATTTTTAATTACCTCTGCAATCAATTCCATCGACAAATAAGGCTGACCAAATTCTTCATCTCTTTGTATAATTTTGTCAAAAATTATTTTATCTTTCGGCTCAACTATTTTTTTTTCACCTGACTCAGTTACTTTTTTTTGTAAAGGAATTCGAATAGTTTGGTCTTTCACTTGAGGAAATCAAGGAATTTGTACACCTTTTAAGTCTATTAATATTTTTTTAATTTTAACACTATTCATAATATAATAAATCATTTTAGTTTATTTTAGCAAAAATTACTGAATGGCCAATAAAATTAATAATATGAATAAGAACTGAATGGAACGATTTGCCAAAGACGTTAATAAATTTATCGGAAAATGAGCAATTCCTTTTACAACTCCTTTTTTTGCTCTTTATAACTGTTATAAATTAATGAAGTGTGTCAAGAATGGACACTTAAGAATACTTATATTCATCATTAATATGATTTATGTGTTGATGAGTCTTTGTTTAGCTATTTATTATGTCTTTACTGCAGAGTAATTTTTCATAATAAAGAATAAAAATTAAAGACAATATTTTTCTCTAATTTTCTTTTTGTCACAATTTGGCTTCAATAAACTCTTGATCGGCTCATAATTTTTTCGGTGTAGGTCACAAATCCCATAGCGAAAAATAGCCAATAGATGACTTTTGTCAGGGTAACCTTTATTTTTAAATCAGTTATAAAGAAGATATTTCTTGTGCAATTTCTGCATAAGGGTATCCCGAGTTACTTTGGCAATAATCGAGGCAGCAGCAATATTGATCGATTTCCGATCACCACCGATAACACTAGTTGTTTTGATTTCTTCTATTTTAATTTCTTCTTTGCCATCGATTAAACATAAATTAGGTTTGTTATTTAGTTTTAAAATAACTTCAATCATCGCCTCTTTTGTTGCTCCTAAAGGATTTTTTATTTCGACCTCTCGAGCACTCTTAAAAGCTATGCTATACTCTACCGCAACTTTTTTAACTATTCGATAAACTTTTTTTCTTTGACTAGGACTAAGAATTTTAGAATCTTGAATTAGTGAATTTTGAAAGCCGGTTGGTAAGATAACGGCAGCCACTACTATCGGTCCCGCTAGTGCCCCCCTTCCAGCTTCGTCAACTCCAGCAATTACAGGATAATCATTTCAAAAACTTAATTCTAAATCTAGACTACTTCTCACCATTTATCGATAAATTAATATAATTTTTACTCTATTATGGAAAAAAAGCACAGAAATTCGTGGAAATTATAACTCAGAATTTGGGTTCTACTTACGGTTTTTTTTTTTTTTTTTTTAGTTTTTCTAGCAGGGGAAAATTCAAATCAAACAAACCAAGCACTCACTGCCATTGAAGGAATTAATCAGAGCAATGTATAAAGAGGAAAAGTGCCTTTTCACACAAAGAAAACAATACTCCCCAGCAGCATTATAAATGGAAATATGAAAAAAATGGCTAAAAATCTTCGATCCTTTTTATCTTGCCAAAGAGCACACCTTTTGCAATAAATCTCGGCTCCTCATCTGCCTCATCCATTTACTTTAAAATAACCAGTGGTTTTAGCAACTTCTTCTCCTTCGGGGATTTTTTTGTAACATCTCGAACATAGCATTTTAATAGATTTTATAATTAATCACCTCCGTTAAAAAAATTATTTCCGTTTAGTGAAAAAAATTAATAATGGAAAAACAAACAAAATACCTAGTGGTTGATGGCAATAACTTACTTTATTCTTCTTACCACGTCTCACAAAAATTAACTTGGAAAATGAAAAACGGAACAATTTTTTTCTTTTTGCGAGTACTAATTAGTATCCTTAAAAAGGGAAATTATCAGAAATTGTTAATTACTTTTGACGGGGGTGGGACTAATTTTCGGGAAACTTTACTTCCTCAGTATAAAGCACAACGAATAAGCATGCCTGACGAATTATGAAAGCAACTAGGAGAGTTAAAAATACTGCTAGAAAAAATCGGTATCACTTATATTCAGATGGTTAATTGTGAA